ATCACTTAGTCAACAAGCAAACTGGTCAGTCATGTGACTTTGCACATTGGCCAATAGAGCACATTGTAAGTTATTGCTAACAGCATTAGCTGACATTAAGGTAATAGTTCTGCTCTTTTGGAGGGTGGGGTTGTATGAGGGTACCACCAAGAAAGCTTCACACTGTACTGCTATGGATGGGGGCAGCCACTTTAAAAAACAGTACACTATAATTAGAATATTTTCATCACTTTACGTTGCTGTCAGACAGCCCTTTCTGATGCAGAAGCCGTTAAAGGATTCAGTTCACCATTTAAGCTCTTGTCAAAGCCACCAGACCCCATTGAGAAAAACAGTAATTTAAGTTGGCTGGACATATGAACTGTTGATCTACCAGTGCTGCACTTAATTCGTTTGTGTGTGTTATTGTGAGACTCTGGTGAATCCGAATTTATCATTTTAAACAGCAAAGTTTCCCAATAATACTAACAACAAACTGATCGAGGCAGCAGTAGACCTGCAGCTCCTGTTTTCAGTAATGTTAAATTACTGTTTTTCTCAATGGGTTCTGGCTCTCAAGAAAAAAAATCAACAATTTCAGTTCCCTGTGTAAAATCACTGTCTGATGGCAAGGTAAAGTGGTGGAAATATTCTCAATATACACTTCAACTGATGTAGATTTCTTTCGGCTGGACTTTTTTTAGGGGGCTAAAATACATTTTGTTGCTGACCCCGCCTCCACAGCATTACATTGCTTAGCTTCTGTCACAGTACTCCAGCCTGCTTCTCCAAACTGGGGGTGTTCTGGCTGACATCCATTGTATCAAAAACAGTACAAAAGGCACCTCCCAGCGTCCAAGGGAGCGGATGTTGGAACAAAGAAACATGTGGCAAAGTAAAAAAGTCTGAGGAAGCGCTGTGTGGCTCGGAACTTCACTCTGCATTAAAATCCTTCTGAACGGCTGCTACTTAGGGTTTGGAGTCATTTGTTGTTGTTTTTTACAATTTTTTTTATTGTATGTAATGTAAATACTCCAAAAGATCCAAATTCTTCCCTTAATTTGCTCACAAATCCATAAATTAAGCCGCAAATAAGGATTATTTTTAATATTGATTAATCTGCCAATAATTCTCTCAGTATCAGAATTGTAAAATAAAAATAAAAATCACAATCACAGCTTGCACAAAGTCCAACTCTGTAATTTCAAATCACTTTTTTGCTCAACCATCAGCCCTTAACTAAATATATTCTGTTTAATATAAGAGTTTTTGAATAAAGCAAATCTCACAATTAAGAAGCTTAAACCAGAGGAGCATAGTCAATTTTTTTATTTTAAAAATGACATAAAATAATTATTTTATTATCAAAATTGTTGCCTATTAATTATTCTGTGGATAGATTAATTAATCAATCGACTATGTGTTTCTGCTCTAACAAAAATAATAGTTTAAACAACTACAATTTCACTTTTAAATTATATATAACAAGCAATGCAATAAAAAAATCTTATCAGATGTACAGACTATGGCTCACCTCTGATATCTCTGTACTATTTAATCCCAGTAGGTTGAGTTAAAGATAATCTGCTGTTAGCAGATTGGTTGGATCTAATTAATTATATGCAAACATTTATTGGAAACTGCAGTGTGAGTTAGTTTAGTCTGAGAGATTCATGATGTCAGCAGATTGCATAATTATGTTTATTCCTCAGCCCTACAACAGACCATGTCAGGTATTTCTATGTCTTTAACAAGCCATGTTTTCACGGAGCCATTTTCTCCACAGGCTGAGGTGCCATTCATGTTTGAACAGAGACTGGTGCCACGAACGCACAGCCTCTATACTCCTCCTCCCCACACATCCCAAATAACAGAGGCATCATATAAGAACTCCTGGAGGTGGCATGACGCAGAGTGGATAACTAGACCATTAGATAACCATACAGCAGTGAAGCATCACGGCACAGAGAGCAGCACGAAAACTCCACAAATTCAGCGAGACTACAAGACCATAGGGAAGGGAAAATAGAGCAGGCTTATATGCTAACGAGCCTCGCAACACGCCAGTGGTTTCCTCCACTTCAGTATCACTGAGTGGTCGTGCTTCCATTTCTGTCAGTCGTGCATATGCATTAGCATTGTCTTGAGTGAGTCTTTCCCTTAGTAGGAAACCCCTTATTTAGCATGTGTAAAAAGAGGGTGAAATAATGAAACTCATCCAGACAGTCTGAGAGCCGCTGTTTGGGAAAATCGAGTTAGGAATGTGGTTGATATGTGATTTAAAAATGGCATTTGAGCACTCTGGAACACCCCGCGGATAAATGATGCCATAAATGTTGCCATAACTAGCACAGTGTTGGAAAAATCAATATAGGTTTGTTTGCTATTTTATTTTATGTTGCTTTTTTAGTCCACCCGGGAGACAGCACCACAGCCATAAAACATTGTTGTGTCTGCGATACAATTGTCCTGTCTTGTTTTTGGGAAGATAAAAGAGGAAAGGTGATTACACCTGGTTCCTAAGAGCAGCACATCTCAAGTCACCATCAGACCACTGGCTTAGAAGAGTCCAGATACTGACGACTCAAAAAGTTGCACTGAATATTTAAATTTCTCTTTGCTGCCCCTACTTATCTCATTCCGTCTTCCTGTATGATGTCCATGACCCATGACCTCCGTCTTATAATCCTGACAGCAAGGAGGGCCATTTAAAAGAATTAGGACACAGCTGTGTGTCAGTGGCAGAGCACAGGAGGACACTATGCAATGCAACACCCCCTCAAACCCTTCGTCACCCTCACACCCCCTGTTTCCACTTCCTCCTGTGCCTCTCTCAGAGTTTCCACCTCTATTTCCTCGCCTCTGACTCCAGGTTCCCAGTACCGCCAGCGAAAGCCCACTGACCCCCACCGGTGCCAACTATGCATCCTGTTTCTGACACATGCCAACTTAGCCGGCCGCACTAGTCAGCTGAACACAGATCCAGTTTCCCCTTCTTAATACTCCTAACAAGCCTTTTCCCTCCGCAGCCAAGTGTCAAGCCCACCAAAGTCACCCAACGGGACGGCTCTGCCTCCCGCACACGGCAACACAACAACACAGAGACTGAGCAGCGCCAACAGAAACATGCTTTCTTTTTTTCTTTCTTTTTTTTTTTACCGTTTCTCCTCATTTACGAGAGAAGAGATGCAACCAGATACCCACCAGCAGCCACAAGATGGATACCTCATTATATTTGCATGGTTTACTTTCAGCACTTTCCGAGCAAGATGGTGAGAGGCATGAAGGATGGCATATGGTTTGGTGCCATTTCTGATAGTGGGATCCATGAGCATAGCAAAATGACAGGAGGCAGACAGCCAAGTAATAGCCTAAATAGCATACTGGGCAGAATTATCTCTCGGTGTAAATAAGAGCTGTTTAGATGGGATGAATTTGTGTGAGCAGACTCGGAAATAGTCTGAATCCCAGAGGCCTGATTGTATTTTAACTCTGATGTAAGTCTCTACTTGTAATTTTCAAGATGGCAAGGTGAAGACAGTTGAAAAGCAACGAAGAAACATATCTGATAGGGGTTTTTGAAGCATATAGTGTGGGGCTGAAATCAATGTCACAATTATATTTATATAGCTTTCATGCATCAATATATGTGGCTTAAATGTGTGCAAACCAGCATTTGAAATAAGCAAATTGATGTTAAATCACTGTTGTGCAAAAATCTCCATATAAAACCTTCACCAACTAATTTTGTTGGATTTAATAAAACTTAAAAGAACCATTTGAGACCAGTAAGAGGAAATGAGATAGGGATGCACTAAAAACCAAATCAAATACCCAAATGTTTTGCACCTTACGGCGTTCAGCATTACGGAGCAATGAAGGCTATTTTCTGCTGTTATCGTCAGTTAAGGATGATGACTCCATGCCCTGTCTCCCACCTGTCATACCACCAAACAGAAATGGGCAGAAAGGGGCCAAGGCCACCAAAAGGACATGGCAGAAGAGCAGCAGGAGCACGGCTCATCATTACAATTGGACGCAACCCAAACATATCAAAGGACGAGGAAGCTCAGCATCGCTCTCTCTTTTGTGCGTCCATCATTGTCACTATTGCACACTTAAACACAGTCGCACTGCCACAGCATCTCGCCATTACCTGATTTCATATTAAATATCTAAATATTTTCCCGTCCCAGGCACGAATCAAACATGTTAAGGCCATGTTTTGCACACGCTGAGCAACGTTACCTTTCCACTGGCCCTCTGCTTATCCAGGGGACCACTTGCACTACACACAAGTGTGTGAGTCACGCATGAAGCAGGCTTTAATACACACATGAATCAGCCATGATTCATCGTCAGAGCAGGCCACCCCAAGCAAAGTAATGGACAGTCACCCTTTTTATCCTATTCTATTTTTATTTCTGCATCAGTCTGCAAACAGGTTACCTCCAGAGACATGTAATGTGCAGCAAAGACACATCCCAGGACTCAATATTGCAGAGTTGTTGCAAAGCCTTGTTGTTGTGGGGTCTGCATGAGGAGTCCCACTGGCCTTCATTAGGTCTCACTGGTGGAATGTGCAGGATCATGTGTTTGGCTACATGAAACTAGGCCCCCCTCTAATGTCTACTTTCACCCTAGAAGTCAGGAGCTGATGTGGCATGAGGACACTTTGATGTACGCTGAAGCAAAATAAAATGAAGGAGCTGCTCTCCTCTCATCCCACCCATATCTGTCATTCAACCACCCCCTTCATTCAAGAGTGGGAGTTGGTAAACACAGCCAGCGGATAATAACAATCACATTCAAGGGATGCATTCATGATAAAGCCACTGCAATTGGCACTTGATGTCTAGCATGGTGGGTGCAGATGATGCAGATGATGAGGAAGCCATCAGATTCAGCTCAGTGGCATGTCACTTGCACAATGAGGGCCAATGAGGGACACAGAAAAAACAAAACACATTATGATGCGTTTAAAGACATTTCACACCTTGTGGACAAACTAGCAGCCGTACCTTGGATTTGATGTTGCAGTGGCAGCAAACAGTCCACAGATATTTGAGGGTCCTCCACAACAGGATGATGAAGAGACCCCCAAAAAACGTCACCATGGAAGAGGCGAGGAATGCCCACCACATGCGCTGTCCATTATTGTCGCAGGGCACCTCGGACGAGAACGGGATGACAACGTCTTCCATCTTGGATATCACGATTGAAGAGTCCGGATTTATATTATTAATGATATTACTTGTCCTCATAGAGCTGTCGCTGCCATGGGGAACGGTGCCATCTGCCTCAGCTAGCATTTAGGAGCCTTGGAGAGCCTGTGCCAGCGTCCCCAGCCCCACTCACCAGCCATATTGCTTGGAAAAAAAAAATCCCCCTCTTCGCTGTAGATTATGTTCACCCACCCGATGGAGTCTCTTTTTCTGTGTTTTAGCAGCCAATGAATTGTTTATTCGTGACAGCGTGAGGCACCGCACACGCGAACCTGACTAAAACAGCGGGTCGGTGGCCCTTGGTGAGAGGCATTTAAATCCGCAATATTGACGAATCTTCAGCGCGTCTCAGTCTGAGGGGCTCTCTGGCTCTTCCACACCGAAAGCCATGGTGAAGACGGCGTCGTCTGCAGCCGTCGAGGCTGCCAGTGGTTCCTTTGGTGGTGGTAAACAGCGACAGTGAGAAATGTAAGCAGCCTGTTCTCGGCGAGGCGACCTCCTCTAGCCGTCTTCCATTCAGGGATCCTGTCGATTAGCAGGCGGAGAATTCGATCGATCGATTTCACTTTCTCAAAGCGACTGTGCAACAAAACCACAAAGACACACACTTAATATTACACTTGGTTTCGCTGCCTCCGCGGCGCGTAAAGACTACATAATCTTGCGGATGTTTTTCGCTGTCAATTCTGCGTAAAAAGGACGAGCGCTCGGGTGGATGTCACCGTCTCCATTCGATCCCCTGCAGCCCTGGCACGGAGCGGCCAGCTGAGAGCGCCTGTCAGATCCGCTCCAGAGGAGAGCGGGGAGATTTACAGGTAGGAGGGCGGAGCGAAGCGCTAATAATAAAGATGGACAGAGGGGCAGTGATATCGCGACGATGTTTATTCCAAGTGCCGACCGGTCTGCGCTGCTTGGGTGTATAAAAGAGGTAGGATACAATTGCGCCTTTGCGTCTTTGATGCGCGCCAATGACGCACGTCGCAAAAGAAAAAAACGAGGTGGCTTTGAAAAGCAGCTATATCGATCAATGATAAATTTTGGTGTTATAGCTCACTATATAAACATCACAGGAAATGATGAATCCCCACACGAGCTGTAGTGGCACCGGTGGATATAGAGTGACAATAAAGTGAGGCTGACTACAACACTATCTATTTTTGTACCGACTTTTCATTAAACATAGTGCTCCCCCTTTTTCAATTACTGAGTCTGTGGCTTGTCATCCATGGATGATGGGCGTCCCTGTTTTCATTTTGAGAAATGAACTCACACACACAAACACACACACATATGCAGAGGGAGTGTTATGAATGTCCTTCCCGGTCAATTACTGTAATATGCTCACACTTTTAGCTCACATATTGGGGCAAAAACAGGTGTGGATTGGTGATGATGGTGAGGCATGACTAGATGTAGTTTATGGCTGCACACTGATGGTCCTCAAGTAGCCAGCCAGACCAAAGGATATGAGGAAACAGCTGGCTCGGGGCCCTGAATAACCACTGACCCTTGAGCTTCAGACCAGGCAGGTGCACACAGCCACCTGTGTCACAAGGCTCCAGACTTCTTGGAGGTTGGTTGCAATATACCCTCAATGATATGTTGCCCTAAGTCTTTCTGAAAGCTTCAATTAAATGTTCCTATCCCTTCTGCACTGTATGGTTATATGCATATGCAACATGATAACAAATATCAGCAGACATAATAAATGTCTCATGGAGTGTGGAGTTATGACACCTCTCAAGCACTGATCATTTCAAAAGTAAACATGCCTCAGTAATGTGTGGTGAGGAGATGTGATATATGTTCTGCTGGTAATTTATTGGCCAGGAAATATTAGTGCTTCTACAAAAATAGCTGCTGTAACAGAACCCTCCAACGTTTAAGCAAGGCGAGCTGAGAAAGACCAATAGACAAGGCAATCTGTAAATTACAGCACGTCAGAGTTATGAACGTCAATGCAAGCATTTTGACTGTTCATATAGAAGCATCGCAGGTCAACGCTGCTGTCCACCAGAGTGACAGAACAAGAATAATCTCAGATGTTTGAAATGTTTGTGACACTCATTGATTTTGTTATTGTTGATTGTTATTTCACTCAAATTTGCTTCAGGACTATATGGAAGCCCTGAGAGGCAAGTGAGGGAAAAACAACTCTGGTAATGCATTTTCTGAGTCTGAACTAAATAGTTTTCTGTCTTGTGTCAGTGACTTAATGTGGAAAAAAAGGCTTTGCCAGGATAATCTTTTTAATTTCCATTTTTTTAAAACCATGAAAACAGGTGAAACAAAAGTTTTGACAGGTGATTTTTTTTCAGGATCATTTTCAAGTGTTTGTGGTACTAAATACTTATTTCAGCCACAAGAGGCTGAAGTGCACCACTATCCCATGTTCTACTAGTGCTACCCTCTAATAGTAGATAAAATATAGGCCTATATTAATGAAGATTCATTAGTACGGTTTTGTATTTCTCTGTAATGTAGCACAGTGTTAACAATGTTACTGATACTATTCTTTCTCACACCTTCAACTCAAACCATTGTGTTGCCCCGCCCAAAATATATCATTTAACAATTAAATTAGCATCGTAAACATGCAGGCGACTAATCGACTAATGGCCCTAAATGACAACTGTTTGTCAACAAGGAAAATTCTTAGTCAGGGGCGGTCCTATGTTTTACATAGGACTAAAAGCATTCACGTTTTGTTCCAAGTGAGTTTTAATTTCTACATGCACTCTGAACAGCAGCCTGTATTGTGTGTTAGCAAGTTATGTAACATAGAGTGCTCAAAGGATGACATTTTTCTGTAGGCTGATGCTGAAGTTAGCGTCGCCCTGGTTCCTTTGACAGAAAGCCTATGGGATTATTCCATTGGATTTTGGATTTTTGCCAAAAAATAAGCTCTGTGGCAACAAGCCTTTATGATACTTACATGTTTTATTCAGTAAGATTCGGTAAGAAAGGCGATCGTCAAAAGTAAAAAGCTAATGGGTCGCCGTGGGTCGGCATTGTGACGCACTGTATAGTCTCATTAAGCTTTTAATTGGTGCTAATTTGCAGATAGCATTATATTAGCTAAACTTTTTTTTTACAACATGGAGTAGTGGTGAACTTCAGCCTCTTGTGGCCAAAATGAGTATTAACAACAAACGTGGTTTCATAGATGCAAAAAAAAAGGAATTTAGATTTATGGTCCAAAACTTTTTTAATTTTACTTGGAAAAATGTGTGTGTGTTTTACATATAAAAAAAATAAGGAAGGTGTAAAGATAATCTTGGCCAAACATTTCTTATCAGTTCGTAAGTCATAAACACAGGAGAGAAAACAATTTCAATCAGATCACCACTTTATTTTTCTCACTTGCCTCTCAGGGCTTCCACCAAAACACCAAGAGGAGAATCAGACAGGCAAAACTAAAGTTTTTACTTTAACATACAACTCTATTAATATATATATATTATTAAGCTCAATTAACGGCTTGTGGCAGCACTAAACAGCATCTGATCAGCAAGTGGTCAGGCAGGCAGATAAGGATGGGCAATTAGCAGCAGCTCTGAAGTCGTCCTCCTGCTGGTAAAAATGGTGAACTGTCACTTTAAAGGCAAATGATGCTGCTCTCCAGCAGCCGAATGGAAGCATCTACCACCATTTTTATTTCTTCAAACACTGAAACATTGTAATAAAAAATGAACATTCTCACTGGAACCAAGGTGATACTTGTAAGAAATTATTAGAGCCGAGATTTCCAATACCTCGTGGTGATGAAATGTTTATTAATGCTCATCTTTATTAAATAAGGGATGTTATTTTCAGGAAACAAGCGGAGTGTAAATCACACGTGGGTGCGGTTAACAGAGGCCTTCTCCTGAAAGCAATAACATTGATTCATGTTTCATGTTGTATTTCACAGAGTTACAATGATATCTGTATAAAATTTCAGCTGTGAATTCATATTCTCTGATGAATGTACAAGAAAGTCAAACAACAGGAAGTCATACCCCTTACATAGCCGATTGAGATCCAAATTCCAAAGCAACAGTGCGCCCCCAGAGAGGTCACAGAAAGTGAGAGCATCACCAGCACATGCTACATACGTTATGTGTCATCATAAATCTAGCTGGCATTTATTACCAGCAACAGAGGAAGGGACTCGAATTGATCATCCCCCATGAAAGGCCAGCTGTTGGTCGAGTGGTTCCATGTGGGCCAGCAGAACTTTAGCTGGAGGGTTGACAGATGAGGAGATTAGCACGAGAGCAGTCAGGTGGTAATCCTGCAGGACATTTGGAGATGCTGGAGTTAACGTGCTGGAGAACCAGCAGCAGAAGGCAGAACCAGACGAGTTCATCCCATCATGCACGGAGATGGAAATGAAGGAAAGGCCACGGCTCGCCAGCGTGGACTACAAAGATCCATCGCTGTCAGACGTGAGACTTCTCAAGTTCAGTTGAGCTGTCAGCAGCTGTCTTGAAACAGACACCTCAGCAGGAGGGCTGGAGACCCTACCCCTTTCTAAAACAGGCCAGAGGGGACTTGGAGGACATGAAGAATTAGGACACAACACCGTGAACGTGCACCTGAAGTCTATCAAATGAGTGACCAAAACCTTGAGAGTAACATCCCTTCTCTTTTAGAACAATAAAAGGACAAGTCAAGGCAGTTTGAGGCATTGGTGGATGTTTTGGAGACACTGGGTGCTCTCTTGCCCCAATGAACCCGACAGGCAGCTGGAGGGTAGTCATCCACTGTGACATCATTGGCTAGAGGACCATGTGACCCCCGAACGCAGTGCTCAGAGGGAAGAACCTCGAGCTAGAGGCGCCCTATCAACCAGAAAGATGTGGTGTAGCTACAGGCTGTCCAACTGGATGGAAAACAGCTCTCACAGAATGCTGCAGAAGTTGTTCTTGGAATGTAGACTCAATATACGGTCCCACATTCATCAGACTTCTAAGAACTGAGCTTTATAGTAAAAATAAAGTTATTCACTGAGTGTGGAAACTTCAAACACATTTGCCAAGAGACTTACTCCTTCTTAGAGTGAAGTGTAAGAGTGGCATTTAGAAGTTGCTCTCCAGTGATTGCATGACTAGTTATGTGAATAGTCAGAGCAGAAACAGCCAATCAGAGACAATGATTCCACCTACATCTGCAATAATGTTGATTGTTTTGAGAAAATAGTGATATTTTACAAAGTGATTTGAATTCTTGAAAACATTTTTTGTGTTTGTGTGAATTGCTTAATATTTCCAGCAAGAATTAACATGTCTCATATGTTTACAATATATTAATAGTTATTGAATAGTGGGAAATTGGCTGAAATTGAATCAAAAAGAAAACAAGGAAAGACATTCTGCTGCCGGTGGACGACAAACATCATATAATCATATTAAGTACCACATTGGCAAGTGCAGACAATGAAGAATACATGGACATTGATTACAGACAACATACACTGCAGCTTTATTTGTGTGTTTGTACCTGTAATTAAGGTTAAAAAATACAACAATACCGGTGTAACATGCAGTGGTAATCCGCTGTGTGTGAATTTATATTAAGCCTAGCTAACCCTGGCTGGGAGTTAGTTACATAGTTCAAGACGTTGCTGTGTTTTAGGCAAGAAGACAGTTATTAAGATGATATATGGTTGGATTCAGTGACTTACATAGACAGCTCAATAATCAAAAACAAGTAAGACAAAGAAATGTACTTATGTCGGCTGAAAACACTCTTTGTTACTGAGCGCCACCGAAACACGTTCAATCTCTGTGAAATTTCCCAGATCACTGTCTGGCGGTATTGTGGTCAACTGGCTGGAAGCATGAAAGGATCGTCCCTGTGTAACCACTTGAAAAGTCTGTATTACAGTTTACCCTGAGTTAGAACGTTCCCTGCACTCCCCTACATTTTAGCAAGGGAACAACTGG